CATAACAACCAAGGAACCAATCACAACTTGCTTTATGGTTGGAACTGAGCGTATGGTCGTTTGTTTTCTCGTGTGTGCACACATTGTCACGGTCCAATTCCATAAAATCCCCAAAAATTCTAAAAAGCCCGTTACCCGCAGCCCAAGTTAACCAAAACCCTAACCTAGAGTCTTCTCTTTATATAAGGTCACGCAAGTGAGGAGGAAGATCAGATTTGCATAGCTAGCAAAACCCTATTGTTCTCGCTCTAGCCGTCTTTTCCTTCTCAGTTAAGCTAGTTCCGAGTTGCTGTTTTGCAGGGCTGATTGCCGGCGGCTCAGAAGGAATTAGATCGTGATTCTTATATCTCAGGAAAGATCACGAATTCTAGTTTCTGAAACTTTTTTCGGATTCGAATTACAAGGTATGGTCTGCTCGAAAATCGTATTTGAATATCAGGGAAAATCACAGTTTTCTGAATCTGAAATTCTTAGTCTCAGATCCGATCAGATCACTTGCGGGATGATTTTCCGGCGAACCATGAGGATATATGCGACGATCTACATACCGTTGGATAGAGGATTCTTCGTAGATTCCGTGGCTCTTTTCCGATTTGGATTCCGAGGTAAGATGAACCCGCAATCTACGATTTAANTTTNCCCTAGATGTCTGACCAGATTCTGTTCTCGGGTTTCAAAGAGCTAACTTTGGAGGAAGGTCTACGCTGTTACAGAAGGAGTTAGAACACGACTTTGGTACCGTTGGAAAGGTGACGTTACAAGGATTTCATATCAAGTTCCTGTTTTCCAGTCCGATCTAAATCCGGTGAGTTGTTGATGTTTCTTTCTGGTCAAGAAACATTTATTCTGTCAAAATCCAGAAACGTATTTTTGATTTGAATCGCTTTTCCAGAACGCAGATTCACATCCTTCTAGGTTCACTCCTCCATATTTGGTCATCCAAAGGCTAAGGTGAGGGTGTTGTCTAGATTACTTTAATACTATTTAACACTAGATGTTCTTACATATTAGTCTACGGATGGAATGTGATGTTGTTGGTTATATGTGCTAAGTCTAGGAATGTTTGATACTTGCTGATTGTTAATAAAGATTGTTTGATGTGTGAAAATTGATTGGTAGTTAAATGAAGTTAAAGATTAAAAAGTATTGTTTGAGATTGTTAGAGTATAGGATAGTTCTGGGAACGATCGCGTACGTAAGCCCGTTACAGAACTTTGCGTGTTGGACTACGAACGATCGCATATGTAAGCCCGTTGTAGTCCATTAGGCCTTAGAGGGCCATGACGGGGAGGACAGACCCAAAACGCGAGAAAAAGATTGGCTCCGCCGTGAATTT